AACTTTTAATCTAGTATCTATAATTCACAACCTCATCAAAAGCTTTTATTCATACCTTACAGTTTTAAAAAACAATGTTCAAGAAAAGTGTAACAGGTGACATCCTAAATATTTCCGTTGCAGTTACAATTTCTGAATTTTCCTATAAAGGTCTGAACATCAAACAACAGTATGCAGTGGCAAATATATTTAGCGTCAGAGTCGTACGCTATTCCAAATTTGTCAGCTTATTTGCTTTTAGTAAATAAATGAAGATAATTTCTACAAAGATGCTTCAATGCCTTAGTTTTCTGAAAGAAGAAAGAATATGTCATGCTAAACTGCTATATTTCCTCCTGGGGGACACAGTTTAGATCAGCAACCTTTATGAAATGATCAAAAATCAAGCCAAAAGGCCTTACTTAAGCAAGGAATTACTTAAATAAGGAATTAAAATTAAGAGATACATAAAGTAGTTGCAAAGCCCAGTTACAGCTATCATAACTGATGTGTTTGAAACTTTCCTTCAATATGTCAATACCTGCAATAGTCTTGTAGTATTTCATTCAAGTTTTTTCTAAATGTATCCAATAAATTAAGCCCAAACTGATTTAATTCAACATAACTGGAGTAATCTCCTTGTAATCCTAAAATGTATACCTTTGTCAGTACATCTTAAAGCTTTGAAGATGGAAGACTTATTAACAAATGTATTTAAATATCAGCCACATAAATTCAAGAGGAAATGCATCGATTTAGCCTGACATACTTGTTTCTGAGCCATTCTTTCCTGTAGGAAATAATGGCATTAACGTAGAACTAAGCAACCAGTTTTACTTTACTGCTTTTTACCAACACTTGTCCATCTGGGAAGATAAAGTTAATATTCTTAGAGTTGATGCCTGAAACCATTATCAAAAGAATTTGTCTTTTAACAAAGTCTATGTGGGGGGGGTGCTTTTGAACTGATCCTTAAGAAATCTTTAAGATGTTACATGTAACAATGGTGTAATTTAAAATTCACCTCCCTAAATTTCATAAACTATGATGTTTGTTCCAGCTTTGAAACAAAACATAACCTTGTTAAACAGATTATGATTAACCAAGATGTCAAAAGAAAATGAGCCTCAAACCCCAAGGGGTGTGATCCCTCAGAGACTATTTTGATTCACACTGCTTCAGTTAACAGAGTTGAATTCTGCTGACATTAAACCAATGATAAAAACATTAAGACAAATCAAGAATTTAGAATTAAACTGTAGGAAGGATACTACTTACAAATTTCTGCAGCATCCTTCCTCTGGGTTAAATTACTAGTTTATAAAAAATACTGTCACATACATCATCTCACAGCTTCAACTCTTTTATACAAATACTGATTAAAAATATGACTTCATTAACAAAATTGCAAACAAAACACATTTTCCACACCTAAACATGTAAAATATTTTTATAACCTGGTTTCCTATTTCCAGTCAAAAGGATACAATTAAAGTAGCTTTTTGTCCCTTTTTCCTTACAATTCCTCCAATTATGGTAGCACAGAAATTCCTATATGATTAACAATTTGAACTTGAATAAGAAACTATTTTAAAAGTAAATGTAAATAAGCACTATCATTTTCAATGCTTTCCAAAACATGGGGAGAGTTTATTCTAGACCTATTAGCCCCACCTATAACTTTAAACTAAGCATGTCCTGAAATCTTGAAGATTATTACTTTTCTACCCATTGGTCAAAGAAATACTTAAGGCTATATTAAATAGTTCATGTACATTAAACTCATACTGGTTTTTGTATGGAGAAGGCCAAATTTATTCCAAAGGAAAAAAAGAAACACTACTGGGAAGGAGCTATTTGCAAAGTTCTACAACTAGAAATCTTTTCTAATAAGCCATCTCTTTAAATCCACACATAATTTTTTTGAAATCACAGAAAGAGCCATTTACTTATGCATCTCAGATTCCTAAGTGGTATGTGCTTAGATTTGTGATGAACATGCAAAAAGGAGTTCCAAAAGATGTGGATAAAATCCTAATCCACAAATGGATGTCCAGGACTAGTCCCCGAAATTCCAGGAAATTAACATTTCACCAAATACTTCTAAAGACTGGCAGGAGTACTCATGAAGCATCCAGGAAGTTAAGGCTAAAAACTCGTCAAGCTTTGCTGGGAAAGCTTAGCTGGGCATGGGAGAAAGGTCCAGAAGAATCTAAATTTAACTGCCAAAGAAAATTACCACCATGGCTGAAAGGAATGCACGGACCAAGTCAATCCCTCCAGCAACCACTGCAGACATGCCATGCCACCTGAGAACCTTCATGCTATCACTCCAGGGAGCCACTCTCAATTTCACCCTGAACATACCTAGAAATGTCACTTATCTACATACTTACCAGAGGATTCTGTTTCTGGGGAACAGAAGCTATCATGCAGTTACTCACATATGCTAACTGTGTCAGCTATCATTCTGGGAACTTCCCATACCAGGCTTCATTTATCGCTCACATCAACCCTCTTTGAGGGCATTTCCCATCCCATTTAGATGGGAAAAATTAGAAGAGAAAGTTTAGAAGCATAGGAATTCATAAAATTTTTAGGAGAGAAAAACATTGGCTATCAGGATTAGAATCCAGGCTTGTCTCTCTCTACATTGGCTCCTGACTTCTTGAGAGAGCCCCAACTTTTTTTGGGCTTAAAGAGATAACACTATCAAAAATTCTGTACTAAACTCCACCCATTCCAATAACAACTTCATATAGAGCATTCTGGCCACCACTCTTTCCTCTTTCAACATTCAACTGTCACAGCAACATTTATGTCAGGTAGCATAAGAGAATGTAAACACTGGACTAGGCTATTTACAATTAACATTTATTGAGCACTTACTTATATGCCAGATATTTTTCTAAATGCTTCCAATAACCTTACAAGATAGGTTCTATCAATATTGTTATTTTATAGATGAAGAAATAGAGGCACAAAAAGCTTTAATAATTTGCACAAGGCCAAACTACAGTAAGTAGGGATCCAGCATTCAAATCAGGTTGCCTAGCTCAAAGCACATGCTAAGTTCCATCCTTCCTCTCTCCCAAGAGAATTTATACAAGGTTTCTCATTTCACACTCTGAACTATGTGAGCTAAGTATTATCAAACCCAATTTATAAAGAAACAAAGGCTCAGAAAGGTGAATTTGCTTAGTCACACAACTTTGAATGGTTATGGTGTGATTTGAATCCATTTCTGTATCACACCCCTAAGATGTTACATCATGTCAAAGGAGGATACTAACTAAAAAAGGAAAGCAACAGTAATCTCTGTATTTCAAAATAGTCAAACCACTTTTGAAAATTTCAAGGCTATATAAAAGTTATTAAAAATGTTTAGGTATGAAAGCAGGAAAAATGTTATAATGAGAAACCGACAAAAATGGTCTCTTGATTCTTATGATTACAAGTTTTTAAGAATTGTATACCCTTTACTATGAGGCTAAATCCTTCTTATTTGGCCATAAAATATAGACCCAGTCAGACACAAGCATGCACCAGACTCCCATCTCACCACCACTCCCTTCCACCTCAAAACACAATATGAGAGGCAGCTTTATTAGTCATGCTCCTTTTCCTAAGACATCAAGAAACAAAAGCAACATCTAAGAATCCACCCACTGTATGCTACTCTCGCAAATCTAGTAACATTCTGAAAGCAGAAGCTGAAGTCTTAGATTCTATTTAACGTGCAATTACCAAGGAACAGGTATAGGAATGCATTTACTATCTTTTCCCTTGTGCAGAAAGGATTTCCTTTCTTAAATCTAAAACCTAAAGGACATAGAGCAAGAAGTCTCAGAAAAGTGATTTTTCATACCACCACACAAAAACATTACTGCTTTCAAATGCTGTTCCTAAAGACCCAATTAGACAGTATAATTCCTCTGCAGTTACACATTTCAGTATTTCAGAAAATGTCTTCCACCAATAATCCATGCGGAGTAAAACCGAGCAATATAATCCTACCTTTCACATTTCCCACATATCCCAGGGGTCTCAGATAGCAAAACGGCTCACGGCACGTAAGAAACATCTATTTTTATATTAGCAGTTCTTAGGAAAATCAAGCTTACATTCTCAACAACAAACAAAAAATTAGAAAGCAGCCAGCACGCCCAAGATACAGCTCCTTTGTATCTGGTACAAATTTTTAAGCCTAAAGATACAAGAGGACATACATAGCTAAGTATTTTTTTATAGCATCTTGCAGTCACGTAAAAAATAAAAAGGAAAAAACATCACCATACAAGAAGGCAGTCCAAAGAGTAAGTATATGGCTGTTTCAGGAGAGGAAAAAAACATTTACTTAGAGTTGTTCAAAGCTTTTAAAAAGATAATCTATATGAAAAGCATTTTAGTGAAGCCAAAGAAACCAAGTAACATGAGCATGATAACCTAGCACGTCGGAAGTGTACACTGGACAAACAGGTTCCACTATCAACCTTCTAAATGATGTTATGAAATAGGGAGGAACAGGAAATCGCCTGATAACACTTCTTTAAATTTACAGTTTTTTGCGAACTGAAAACCAAGATGCATTCACTAAAAAATCATTTTTTCTTATAAAAGATCCAGTCATAAACCAAATCAAAGCTTGATATGAAAACGCAGGGATGCGGTCCATCTCTTCCCTCCCCATTTCCGCTGCCCCCAGCGCGGCCTCTCAGCTGCTCAAGCCCACAGAGATGCTCTCGGAAACGAGGACTTCCTCGCCATTTCCCAAGCTCAATAAAGCAGGTTTCTCAGGAGAGCAGCATCAAGCTCAGTCTCCCCACAGAACCTTAACTTCCAAAATGCCCAGTTACCAAAATAAGCTAGATGGCCCAAGAAAGCAATTCCGCGGACACTTCACAAGCAAAGGGAATAAACTAAAATCAGGAAAATATAAAGGGGAAAAAGAGAGCCAACCGCGAAGCTAAACCACCACACCCTCCACTCCGCGCCGGAACCCGCCTGCCAGGGGCCTTTACCTTCATCTTCCACCGAAACTGCACTTGGACTGGTGGCTACAAAGTCTTTAGTGTCAGCCGCGGCCACACTGGGGTCAGAGGAGAGGACAGGGAAGAGGAGCCCCGGAATCCCAGGCCGGCACCCCCGCTCCCGGCTGCGCCCACCACCCCCAGCGGCAGCATCTGCAAGAGAACCGGAGAAGTGCGCTGACGGGGGAGCGCCGAGGGGCCCACGCCGCCGCCCGGGCCGGGACCGGGTCCGCGCCACCCAAGGCCCGGAGGCCTCCGGAAACGGGGACAACAGCAGTCCCGGCGCGCCCGGCCCGCACACTCCTCGAGCTGCGGGGCACTCACCCGCGGGGCCGCGGGGCGCCTAGAGCGAGTTAGAGCGGCTCGCGAGCGGCGGCGAGAGGCGGGAAGAAGCGCACAGAGGACAGGCGGGAGGGAAGGGTGTGGGCCGTCACGGCGGCCCCCGGCCCCGCGCGCTGTGCTGCGCTGCTCCTGCCCCGCCTCCCGCGCTCTCCCCGCACTCTGGGCCCGGCGGAACCTATCTCCACGCGCTACTTCCGCTGCGAGCGGCGCGCGCGCACGCGCACTGGCCCGCCTGGGCTCGAAGGCGGAAGTGCGGTGGCGCCAGCAGCGAGAAGCCGGCAGGCTGGTCTGCAGCGGCCGCGGCTTGCGGATCTCGAGACGCCCGCCCTCCCCCTCGCCCGCCATTCACCGTGAGGACGCGGCCGCGGGCCGGGGCGGAGCGGGCGGGCGCAGCCATGGTCGGCGTCCCCGCGCTTGTGGCGCGCCCTCAGCGAAGGCGGCGAGAAGGCGCTCCCGTCACGTAGCCTTCACAACCCGGGCCGGCGACGCGAGGGCCGCCGCGGGCAGGGCTCCGGAGCCGTCAGGCCGCCCGAAGGCAGACCTCCCGCGCCCTGTCCCCCCGGGTCGCGCAGGCCTCGTCCGCAGCCCTGCGGAGCCGCAAGGCGGGGCTGCCCCAGCCCCTGACGGGCTCTCCCTCCGCCGCCGGCGCCTTCCGCTTGCTCGGCATGCAGCCGAGACCCCAGGGGATTTTGGGTGGACGCTTGGCTTCAATAAGCCTTGGCGAGGGAGACACGGAACCGACATCCTCACATCCAGATCGCTAGAGGGCAGGGCTCCACAGAACCCCAGTTGGCCTGGAAAATCCACCCTGACGCGCCACACGCATGTCTCTCTCCACCACCGCTTAACCCGTTAAATAACGTGCCCTGTAGTGCATCCCAGTGTGTTCTCTGACCACGTGTTCAACGTTGAACTAACAAGTGGACCCATCGGGTTCTTCTTTTCCTATGTTAATCTCAAGTAAGTGTAACTAGTCGGGGATAAAAACCCTGGACAAGCTTTTTATACATTTACTTTTAAGAAACATTGAGATTTTTATTCAGCGAGGTTACTTTTAAATTTCAAAAGTGCAGCCATAAAAATCAGGTTTAAGTGAATTTTCAGTCTCAGTAATTATGACCCACCTTTGGCTTGCAAGCTTAGCCATCTCGTCTACCTGGTGGTGTTATAAACCTTATTTGTGCAATAATGAATGTGCCTTTTACTCAATATTGTAATCAATTTGTAGTGATTATTAGTTACTATACTTATTGGATTTTGATACCACAGCATATTAAAAACAAAGCATCTGAAGTAGGAAATTATATAGGCATTATTTGATACAAATATCTTACAAGTAGAAAGTAATTTCACTACAGAATTTGATACTGTATTGTTTTAATTAGCTCAAACATTTTATTCTAAGACAGCTTTTCAGAATTACCTGTTGTGCGCTGCAATATCTCAGCATTAACACTGATTCCATAACTGAATCCCCACAGATTGATCACTCCATAGCTTGTACCTCAAGTAACTTAATTTGGAATTTTACTTCTTGGTTGCCTGTATTGTGAAAGACATGTTCCTTTAGCTAAGCTAAAAAAGAAACTGGGTAAAACCAGCTTTGTCCAGAAGAATTTTTACATACTTTATTTCTAATCCATCCACTCGTCATCTCACAAATTCCTAGGTTTGGAAGCAGCAAAAACCTCACAGAATAGATGGTTCAACCATGTAGCTGATCCTTCAGCCTCTTCAGCGTATCTCTAAGAGTGATCCTCTGCTCTGTACCTGTACCTCTCCACCAAGCCAGCCAACATCAGTAGTGCCCTATTCAAGCCCTTCAGTGGTGAGTGCTTGGGCCACGTGCTTCAGAAATCCTCATATTTCTCCCAGCATTTCCTCCTCTGATCAGCTAACCTGTCATGAGACTTTCCTGCAACAATCTCCATCTCATCTCAGGGGAAGGAGACTAAAACATAAGTATGCTACATTACATACATACATACATACATACATATATATTAACTACCCCTTTTTCTCTCAAAAGATTGTTGTGAGGATCTGATAAAGAGAACACAGGTTGTAAATTATACGAATTATAAAGGTACAAGATTATAATAAAAACAAGCGAAAGTGTGGATCATTAGCTAGCTAGAATGAGATTAGAGCAATTAAATGTATTACGGTCAAGCTTCCTCGTATTCTTTAAGAATCAGTGCTCTAAAAATGTTTTCTACTCATTTTATTCTGAGTAACCTAAAAAATTAAATATATCATACAATAGTGGTCACTTGTGAGCAATACAGGGGAGAATCTCTGGGAGGAACAATACAAATAGGGAAGTTGGAGAAAAATGGTCATGATGTTCTAGTTTTATTTATACTGTGCCTTACCACACAAAGGATGTGAGGCTTCTTGGTTTTAATATTCAGTCTGATGGCACTTTTATAAGCCTGAATGATAAATAAATATGTGGCTCTTTAGGATTTAAAAATTAACTTGGAAAAGGTTATTTTAAAATCTTTCTTCAATTAGTGTCTTATTTGAAAAGCTGTTTTAATATTGTTTTAAGTTAATAAAGAATTTTACCTAGCTGCTAGAAATGTCCTTTTTAAGTCAGATATTTTAAAGGCATAAAAAGACACAACACTTTATTTTTATAAGCTAATTTGCTTCAACAAAACAACAGAAGTATTTTTCTTATAGAAAAAAGGACATGCTAAGGGTCAAGTTTAAGGAAATAAAGTCTTATTACAAGAAGTCATGTGAAATAAGTGTCTAACAACCACCTTCCAGCATTACTGTTAGTACACTTGGTTCCTTGTCTCAGCAGTGCTGGAAGAGTAAATATTGGAAGCAAGAATGAAATCAAATGAACTCAAAAATCAGCTACCTATATTTGGTTGGTTTTAATAGAACATTTTACAAATATTTTATCAGCCCACAAAATTGCATAGCTTCTAAACCTGCATTCTAAACATGAAACATTTCATGCAACTGAGTGGAAGAAATTAGAGGATTCAAAGTGTACTCTTAATTTTTACTTTTAAAGAAGTTTATTTCAAGTATGACTCAGTTTCCCTACTCAATGGGTTCTGATCTTGTAATGATATTTAGAGTCTTTGGTATGTATTGTCAATCTTCTGGGCTGCAAATGGGGATCCATGGGGAACAGGTGAGGGCAAGAAAGGGAAGGAAGAGCGAAGCAAGCGTGAGACCCTTTTCCAGGAGTCAGTTCTGGACTTCATTATTTCCTATGGAAAATGGACATACAATATTCCATATTCTATAGACCCCATGATTTGTTTTGAGATGAAAATTATACAATTAAAAGACACTCTGTCTTATTTCCAAACTGACACAATTTGTTTCTGGCCCCAGAACATTTTGTCTGCAGTAAATTTGTAATAAAGACCTATTGAATAAATGGGTAATCTGGAAAGTGGTCATCATAAATAAACATTTTTTGTTGAATAAACATAATCTCACTGTTGACTTTGCTATTTGCTTCCTATGATTAAACTAAAACATGAACTTCTGTTTTCCTTTAAAGCAAAGAATAATTAAGGAATTTTTGAAGGTTTAAAAATGAATTACATCTCCAAACCAAAAAGGGGTTAGCTAGGACAACTTGATCTGTATAGGAATAACTCCCAGTCATTGTAAGAAGTATTAAAAATTGAGCACTGTGGAGAGCAGATAAAATTTCACAGCCACATTTTGAGCCCAGGGAACCATTTGAAATTAAAAGATAACAATGTTGAGGTGGTTGTTCCCATGCTCATAGGAATTTTCAGCTAAGTTATGGTTTAGATTTTGATGGCATGCACAGCAATGCCCATTACGGTCAAGCTTCCTCGTATTCTTTAGGAATCAGTGCTCTAAAAATGTTTTCTACTCATTTTATTCTGAGTAACCTAAAAAATTAAATTGCATAGCTTTCTAAAAGCACTGTAATTTCATTCACAGTCTTCAATTATTACTTTAGGGATCAAGATATCTGCTCGATTCATAACAAAACAACTAGGAAAACAGGTACTAACTAACAGGCCTTAGAACAGCTAGGTAAGTTAAATTGCCGAATTGCCACTGGTCAGCATCTTAGACTGACTGAAAGCATTTGCTGCTTGACTGTATGCCATAAAGAGTTGAAACTGAAGGACAGATTCCATAGCATTTCTGCTGGCCCCTGCTGCTTTTGTTGTAAATAGCCTGGCCTCTTCCCTCTATTTAAATGCCTTATCAATTTTACATCAGAAACATTTTCAATCCCTTTTTATTCTGCAGCACAAGGGGGTCTGAAAGAGCTTTGGAAAAGGTTCCATTTCCTCAGACCTACAAGATAGTACATTTTGCACATAAAAGTTTTCTACCCCACCATTTTCTAGAAGTCAAATGTTTTTTGCAAAGCTTGTATCTTTGCCTGAACCTGTCCCATATCCTTCCGGGACCTCTGCAGAAATCATCTCTCTCCACTCTGCTTCCTATGGTGAAAACAAATGAGAAAATAGTCACAAAAATGCAATTATGATAATAAATTAGGGAGGGAGGTCCACAGCACTGAAATTGCCTAAGACTGTATGAGGATCCTGAAGGGTAGCCCTGGACAGTCATGCAAACAGACCATATTCCCACTGACCACATTATATAAAATAGAGCACCCCCACCAAAGAGATGGTTTACAAGATAGATAATGGTGAAAGCAGAGTAACTATTTGGCAGGATGGTTTGCAAGATAGAGAAGAGGAATTATGAATTGGCAGAAAGGAGTTTTTGCAACACAAACAAACTGTTAAACCTTTGGGTTAGAGAACTCATCACTGCAAGTAATGATCAGGTGGAAAATTCAATGAGCAGCATTTACAGTATACCTTCAGGCAGCTTTATTTTGTTGCTTTCTTGGTTAGAAAAGCAATGTTTATGTACCCTATTTCAGAAGATACTAAAAATAATTTAACACTGCCAAGTATTCTCTATTTGGGGGAATCAGGAAAGTGGTGATTCTGGAAAGGAAAAAAAACCTTACTATAGACCAGGAACACATAAACTGAAGTGCAAATTTGGGACTTGATCTGGCCCAACCAGTTCCCAGTTCAAACAGTTGAATGCAAAACCATTTTCTAAGAAACTGCTACTTTAACTACTAGGAATA